CTGGAAACGTAAAAAAGAAACAAAAAAACAAGTCACCAATTAAAATAAGTGTTGTATGTAATCAACTATTACTCTATTGACTATTTGTAAAGGAATAATATAACAGAACTTATTTTTCTTTTCTAATCTGACACCCCTATGGTTGACGCGGACTTGCAATTCCCAAAAGTCATTGCAAATTTGACACAAATCTTAACAGTTTCTGTATTTGCTTTTTTTTTTTTTTCCTGACCAATCACTGCAACTCAGCTGAATTTTGACCAATGCCCCTTCTAATTTCACTTCCTGTTTCTCGACTTATCTAGAAAGCTGGAAAGACAAAAGCATGTGTGATGCTAACGGGCAACATTTGCGTGTTTTTGTTCTTTCTTTTCATCATTTTGAGTCTATTTTGCAGAATTTGCTTATACTGAGGTTACACTTCCTGTTAACTTGAATGACCAAAATGGAATTATTCATAATTTCATTTATACTAAGGGTGCCACTTCAAGAAGGTACTTGAAAATGTTATTTGCACTTTAAATATTAAATATGATAAAATCTGTTTTTGGCAAGGTGATTTGAAGCAATTTCAACTTTTTTGGGAGATCCCCCAGAGGCAAAAATAAACCCACTGCTTACATGCTGAGCAGTATCTAACCTTAAATCACTGAAGCTAATCTGCTATGTCATGATGAAAAGAAGCACAAAAAGCTGATTTAAACACACATTTATTAGCTACAGCTTTATTAGAATTAAATTCTGCACTGCTGTATATCATTTCATTTTTTTAGGAGGTTGTTTTAGTACGTGTGCGTGAATGCATTACGTGTAAATACCGTTCTCTCCCTTGCAACACTCTGCCCCTAGTTTCCCTTTCGCTGACCAGGAAAATTAAGAAGCAAAACGCGGGTTTTAAGAGCATTCCTTTCATGTCTTGATGCAAGCGTTGGCATCGCTTCAAACATCAAGATCGGTTTCATAGAAATCCCTTTCCATCTAAAGTAAAAAGCGTGGCAGTAAATCTGCCCGAGCCTCCCCCGTAACACTTCCATAAATGATTCATTCAGCTCAGTTTAGCTGATGCAAAACAGAATGTTAGCGAGTCGTGGACAGAGCTGGAGCTGCAAAAAAAACAAAAAAAAAAAAAAGGGGGGAGCCGGAACAAACTGCTCAGTAATTTCATCAATCGCTCACATATAAAACTGGGAGAAAGGAGTGAGAAGAGCGTGGTATACACTGATAATAACTTTTATGTCACCATTCAGGGGTCATGTTTTTTAATCTTTCAGCCTAAAGAATTGTGTTAGTCTAAAATATAACCCGAGCCGCGCAGAAGCAGTTGAGATTCATCATGGTTGGAGATAAGAGCCGCCTGATCTCCTCCCTCTGCACAGACTTGCCTAGAACTACACGGGGGAGATAAGATGGAACTTTTGTTTGAAACCTGATGAGAAGCCTCTTAATGAAAGTGCTGCGCCAAAAATAATCTTTTTTCTTCATGTTAGTCAATCAAGAAATCGTGTAGTTAGGGGTGGGGTGGTGGGGGGAGAAGAGGGAAAAAAAAACAGAGGAGAAAGAAAGTAATTTTGCATAATCAGTGAGCACCATCTGGAACAATTAACCAAATTCCACAGAACTCAGAGGATCAGTCATATTGGCTTATTAAAGATCCAGAATTATACAAGTAATAAATCCTTGGAAAAACGAAGCGTACCCCTGCCTGTCACGACTATTTTAACTTCAAATACAGTGGAATACTTGATAAGGCTGAAAAGAGGAGATTAATATATGCAAATTATGTGGAGCATTTAAAAGCCCCCCAACAACTGTCTCTGGTTTTTTTTTTTCCTGTCTCTTATTACAGGGCTTTATGTTTTATTCATACACCAACTCACCTGTCATTTCATAAGCTATAATATTATGAGGGTATTATTAAACAGTATAAAGTGGAGCTTTAATTGGAAAGCTCCATTGCATTTTCCAATTATTTGGAGCAAATTAAAAGCAGATGCACATAGTTTAATAAGAATTCTAATATTGTTTCCTGAAAATCAAAAATCACTGTCATCCTGCCAAGATATTTTGCAAACCAGAGTTAATTTTGAGCCTCCATATTTATTTTTTTTCCCCCCCTCTGAAGGATGGTCTGTCTAGTGTCTGTTAATTGAAGTTCCTCTAATGGATAGGGAAATAATTGCTCTCCATATTATGTTAGATCAGGGCCAATGTCAGTGTTTATTTTTGATTAACGCTATAGATATGCAAATGTATTACTTTATATTAGATTTACCTTTTCATCAGGTGGACGACTGCCGAATGCTATACGTCGCTGAGCTGGTAATAAAGGCAGCCTGCAATCCAACATGCGCAAAGAAAGTTTAATATGGGAGTTTTCAACTAATGCATTTGCATTGTTTTTTTAACTCAGACAGATTTTTTTTTTTTTTTTTAATGCACAAACAATCTCTTTCAAAATATCAAGATTTACTGTCAAAGCATGAATAATAGACCTAATTGGCTGAGGGAGTTGGCATGGATCAAAGCAATGCCGGTGAAGGAAAGCAAAAAGGTTGAGAGAGGAGGGGCGGGGGAAAGGGGGAGGCTGAGTGCTGCTATGAACACTTGATAACTTTTCAAATGAGCCTGAACTGTCAAGTGATGGAGGGCTTCAAAATAAATGTGAATTAGTTTTTTAATATTCGGGTAATAAATGTCAAAGCTTCTGCACATCACATGTGAACATGATGTGACTGCAGATGACAGATTTCCCAGACACGTTACCTCTCCTCTCAACTCGTCTTTTCTTTCTTTCTTTTTTTAACCCTTTCTTTTTGTGTGCGTGTGTGTGTGTTGGTTTTTTTTTTTTTTTTTTTGTTTTGTTGGGAAGTGACGGAGGGTTTAATCAAGAAAGCAGGCAATTCATCAATCCTAAAGAAGGCGCCTGTACAACCCTGACAGAGCGCACATGGTTTTAGACCAACTCAAACCTGGCCAGCTGTCAGCCCCCACACACACACACACACACACACATGCACACACACACATCTGAACATATACAGACACTAACACACACACACACACATGCACACACACCAGCTCTATTGGGCTAACAATTATCACAAACAGGCTGTCGGCTACGACCTCACACTTGGTCTGCAGGCTATCATGTTGTTAAAGAAGGGAAGTTGTGTTCTTTCACATTCGCAGTGATGCTGATGAGAGCAGTCTGAAAAAAAACAACAACAAAAAAACAACAAAAAGAAAAGCAAGAAATGTTCTTATTGTGGTGCTTATTGTATTTTATTTAAACTGCTCCTTTCACAAGTGGGAGAAGGCAGGAGTGTGTGCACCTGCAGAGGACAGGTTCTCTGCAGATAAATGATAAGTGCTGGCAGCGCATTGTGGAGTATGTGCATGCTCCTCATTGTCACTCAAACCCTGCCCCAGTGGATGGATCCCACACCAAATGCCACAAAATGTTCAGGAGTGTGATAATGTACTGTGTGTCAGGGCTTAACTCGCAAAACTGAATGATGTCATGTAGAAACTCTTTTCTTTCATTTAGAAAGAAACGGTGCTTTTTCTCTTTTTTCAGGTTAAATTTGGAATAAATCCTGAATAAAAGTTGTGTTATGTGACATATATTTGATTGCGGTAGCTGCTTAAAAACAGACTTGTGTTAATCAGGATGGGTGCAGCATTGCTATTGCAAGCGTGCGCCTCTGCTGGAGCAGCAGGAGGCATCCTCACCACATGGTGTCTCTCTCCAGCTAGATAAAAAAAAAAAAAAAAAAAAAAAAACCCGCCTGCCACATTCCCCCGCCACAGCTCACACACACTTAAAGCCTCCAGTGTCTCAGCCCACTCTGGTTTTGTGGCGCTGATGCTGTCAGAGCAAAGCGCTGTTTTCTACCAAATTTTTTTTTTTTTTTTTTGTTTGAGTTTTAGTCGTGGGGCATATTGCAGTTGTTAGGATTGGAATTTCTCCCCCGACGAAGACAAAAGAAGCATCCAGTGCACAAGAGGTACATGTGCAAGTTTGGTATGTGACGGATCGTCTTTGACGGCTGTTAATACCGAGCTCCTCTGGGAAGTCACGTTCGCAGAGATAAGCAAAGCTCTGTACAGTGTCCATCTCTGAGAAACTCCAATATGGAGAGGGTTTACTTTAAATGTCTCAAAACAGTCTTTTTTTTTTTTTTTTTTCTTTTTTTTTAATATCCTGGAAAACTTTTTTTTAAAACATTTTTAAAAAATTTACTTTTGGTAAATTTTCTGCTTAATGAACCCCCACTGGTGACAGGCCAGTTGTGAAGTTTTAAAAATTGATCTTTTCGTGCATGTACCAATTGAAGAACAGTGAAGGTTTGCCATTTTCAGCATCAGTGAAAATGTTTGAAACACAATTCAGAGGAAGCACAGACATAAAGTCGTCGTTTTAGAGACAACCGTGCTTTCTATGGCATATCAAAACACGTATGTGCGGTTCAATCAGGCAATGAGAGTATTTCAGCAGATTACAGGAAGACTGAACATTTGAGCTTCCAACCTCTGTCTGTCAGAAAACTGGCTGGATTTGGAAATGTTGGGAGGCTTTTGGGAATCCCAGAGTTAAGGATCTTCATTCTGTAGGAGTCTGCTGTTGATTAGTGTTGATCACTAACGTAAACTGAAGGATAGTTTAACATGTCAACCCCAATATTATGCCATAGTTTACAAATAACTTTGCAGACTGCTCTCTCACACACCCAGAGTGAGATCACCTCCATTCACAAACAAAAGAATGATGTTCTTCTAATATGGCTGCACAAGAGAAATCAGAATCAGCTGAAAACGTTTTCAGCCGTACAAACACCGGAGACCAGAAACCTGCTACAAAAATCTGATTTCTGCTTTCCTCAATTTGCCCTTTTCCCCCTCAAAGGTCACGCCTGAAACATTTTGCGCAATTAACTTATTTGAAAACATAAAAGAAATCAAACATCAAAATGTACCTGCATCAGTCTGTCATCTTTTACCTGACATAGTGTAGATGCCACTGTTCTCCTGCTGATACTGTGGCCTGCTGATGGCGATCCTGCTGGAAGGGGAAAAAAACAAATAAAGTGAATAAAAATATACCAAAAAGCAGCTTATAATGTCAAAAAAAGATGGAAAGAAACAGTGCTTGTCAAACGGCTTATTTCAAGAGATGTATCTCGGACATTTTTAAAGAAATGTACTCAAAAATCGAATTCCCCTCTGAACACACGTGGCTTCTGAACTGTCTAAAAGCAAAAAAAAAAAAAAAAAAAAAAAAAGAGCATTGAATTAAAGTGAATTCAGAGTGGAGAAACATGGTAGAAGTTCAACAGTGCCTCGGCTGCCCAGGGGCTTGAACAGACCTTTGGAGTGGGATCTTGTTAATTCTGAGGAACTGAGAGATTCCATTATTCAAAGAGAAGACACGTTTTTTTTGTTCTTCTTCTTCTTCTTTTGCTCTTCTTTTTCGTGGCCTTGTATTACAGAAAACAGCACAGAATGCACTTTGTGGGTAGTTGAAGTTAACAAACCATATAAGATTGAAATCCTCATCAATCAAGCTATCATGAATTACACCCTGTGACTCACCCCCACGGATCGATAAATCCGCAGCAAGCAGAGAGGGAAAAAAAAATCACAGCTTTGAGAGAGAGCTGCTTAACATGACATGCTTTGGAGGTTAAACTATTTCCAGGATGGGTTCACAGAACTCATGAAATTATAATGTGGAGAAGTTGGGAATTGCATTTAAAAGCCGGATCGAACAGATTTGCAAGTTGCTGTTAAAGAAGGAAGGGTGGCATGTAAAACTAAAACATTCACTAAATTTCAGTCGACGGCCAGATCTGCATATTCTGCGGGCGCCACACCTTGAGTTGTGACTTTCTGAGCTTTATCTCTCCGGACGAGATAAATAAACGCAATAATTTCCATCAACAGCAATAAAACAAGGATTGTGACAGGCCATGGTATTTATGAGATGAAGCCTGCAACTCAGATTTATTTGCAGTGAAAGGGTCGACTTTTCTGCACCTCATTTACATCAGCATTTGGCCATGTTAAATCCGGGCCAATGGTGAATTTTTAAAAGGTTGGCATCAATCTTGTGGGGAACAACTGCCACATTCAGCGCAGACTTCTTTTACCTCGCAAAGGTTGATCCCATTGCTGGAGAACGAAAAAAAAAGAGGTACACATCTTTCAAAGCACAAAGACATCACATGAGCAGATAAACTAGAGCCAGATGGTTGAAATGTCTTTTAGGGCTTGTGCTGCACGTTGTTATTGTCATACAAATACTCAGAATAAACAAAGCAGCAAAGAAAATGGCTTTAAGACTGTTAGAAATGGAAACACACAAGAGTGGTGAGCTCATGAAATGCTTTCTTACACTGATAAAACCATTTGTAAGATTTTTTTTGTAAGATTAAAATTTACCCAAGTAAATATGATGCGCAACCAAATTTATATTTAATATAATATTTCTGAGGAGAAATTATGCAAGTTTTATGTTAAATGGACATTTTTGATGTACAGTGGTCCTTTTGTATATTAAAAATAGAAGAGGTCCAAGTCACCTCGAAATAACTAATATTGATTAACACTTGAGATCCCCTCTGAAAACGTTGGAACCTCTGGACTTTATAAAGCACTATACAAATCTAGGCCATTTACAATTTATTATTTAAAACCGATCCAACCAAGCATGTAAAGCATTGCTTATTGGCATCAAGTGCCCAAGACTTCAAGAGTAATTAAACCCCAAATAAACTTTTTTGAAGAAAAGCTGTAGAAATTGAGCCGATAATTTTCTTGTAAACGTTTTCAATTAAGTAATATCACTTAGAACTGACTTATTATTGCCCTCTTTGGGTTTAAGGGTGGCTACTGTTAGTTATGACAATGTTTAATTTCCATTTGGGGTACCGTATTTTCCAGACTATAAGCCGCACCGGGCTATAAGCCGCTGGTATCTACGCTGCTCTCAGTGTTGTAGCAGAAAATGAATCTATTAAAGTCGCAGTCCTCCGTCTCCAACGCCAAATCATGAATTCGTTCACGCCAAGCGGATATCGATCTGCACTGCCTGATCGATAGCCTTCAGCTTAAAAGCTGCATCATTTGAAGTTCCTCGTGTGGTTTCCATGATGAGTGGGTATGAATTTGAAAACATTTCTCCGTCGTGCCTGTTCGCATGTGAATCAGCACTTTCTTCTTTGATTTCCAATGATTCACTTCCTGCTAAAGCGCCCCCTGGTGGTTGAAGAAAAATCCACAGAAAAGCTGCACCATGCTACAAGCCGCATGGTTCAAAACGTGGGGACATAAGTAGCTGCTTATAGTCCGAAAAATATGGCAAATAAAGTATTTGTGAATAAAATTGAATTGGATATTAAAACCCAATATAAACATAACAGCCTTACTGTTTGCTGGGAACAATGAATGACAAGCTTAACTTCAGTTAAATGCTAATCAAAATAGTTTTAGGTTTAAACCAATATGCTTCATCAGATGTTAAATAATACCAATATTTAACTAATATAATATTTAAAAGACTCCATAGTTTTGTTTTAGAGTGTAAAGGCAGCCTCCTGGGCTGGTTTCCCATCTGTCTACAACATCCCCCCCCCCAAAAAAAAACAGACAAAAAAAAAGCAAGTCTCAATCCAAATTGCTGATTTCTAAATACAATTTTAGGTGCATTGGAGAGGGTAGCATATGGCAAATCAATTAGACAACTAATTCTTAAAACAAAAACATGGCAAGAGCATTTGCTAATCAACAGCAGTGTTTGGGCCCACATTATGTCGGCCACTGGAGTTTTGAAAACAATTAATCCTCATTCCAGGCAAGGAGAGCCATATTGACACATACTCCTAATTTGAATATTCAATTACAGCGGAGTTCCTCATCAAATTATGGCAAAACTGGGAACAAGGCCTGAAATATTCACGCAATTACAGCGTGGATCAAAAGTGTTGTGTTCCCATGAAATCTGCCCAGGTTAAAATCAAATTAGCGCAGCAAAAGCAAAACTGCAACACAAAGGATCACTTTGAAGACACAAACTCTAATTTATACAGATTTGCCTCGTATCAAATTCATCTTTGTTTAGCGCAGGATAAAGAAAGGACTTTTATTTTTATAAAGATAAAACAATGAGGCAAAGAGAAAGTGTGAGGGGAGACCATGGGGACCGGCAGGCAGCAGTCAGACGGGAGGTAAGAATGGGAGTAATTTCCCCGAGTGTGAGGAGCCAGAGCTGCATTACAGAGAGCTGGAAGCTCTTGTTTTGACACAGATCTAGCCTCTCCTGTGACAACATCTCCACACCTTCCCCAGAGTGCCGGCACTGTTGCTTTGTGGGAGCTGCTTTCTCACCCATCATTATCCTCCTTTAAGCTCAGTGTCAGCTGCCGAAGACGGGATCCCTCTGAATTTCAGAGGCCCCCCCCCCGTGCGATCTCACCTGATCGTTCAATCATTTCTGGCATCGTCGCGCATCCCTTTGTTTGATCTCTGCTTCTTCTCGCAACTTTCTTGAGCACAAAGTAATGAGCGAGATTGAGATGGAAAGGATTGTTCCTCGGCACTTCAGACAGAAGATCTGTCTTGTGACAGTCAGTCACAGTGTCTCTGTCTCTCTCTCTTTCTCTTGCTCTCTTTCTCTTCCGCTGGCAAGTCTTGGTTAACCAGCATGCAATGAAAGCTGATACAATACTCCAGCAGAGCTCCGCCAACGTGTGGAGCGTGACAGGTAGAAGACTGCAATTCTAAAAGTATTGATATGAATGCCAATTCTGACACTGATGACACTCTATATACTTTACCTGAAAAAGCCAGCTACGCAAAGAGAGAGAGAGAGGGAGAAAAAAGAAACGGGGGAAAAAAAAAAACTGGCCTTGACATTTTTATCACCGTACAGTTTGATTTAAAAAGTGGCCGTGTGTACAATAGCCTATTATTCTAAGAGAAATGTCAAAAACCTTGATTCTGAGTGAAGTGAAAGAAATTGCAATATTAGGACAAGGCTAATTTATGCCAGCAGTCAGTGTAGAGGTCAGATATCAGCCTCAGCAATGACAGTTTTATCAGGAGAACAAATGGCAGCGCTGGTCAGGAGGAGGAAGGAGGGAAGATACTTTACAGGATACATTAAAACGCTGACCGGATGGCGCGACGTCTTTACATTATAGAGTCGGGGAGTGGCTGATACGGCCTGTCTTGACAGAGAACAAGCCAAAGTGGTTGACATCTAGCTGTGGCCATGAATCAAAACAAAACGCCATCACTGCTTAAAATGCCGTGTACCGACTTGATAAAGAGACTTTTAACACAAGGTCTAAACACAGCTTCACAGGCCTCTGGCCTCTAGCCGGGAACACATCAGCGGTAAGGTGGCGGCTTGTGTGAAATGTCACTATTTTAGTCTTCGGTTCCTATGTTAACAGGTCAGAGCGTGGGACACAAGGTGGATCACTGCAACTGAGTAATGTGCTGGGGAAAAAAAAAAAAAAAAGAAACATTTCATAACTTTTGGTGATCATATTTTTCATTAACACATTATAATGAAACTCTAAAATACATCAAAATATTTCTTCTAATTTCACCATCTGCATGCTGATATAAACAAGCTTTGTTTTCAAGTGAAAGTGCTACAGCATAAGCTTAGACTGTAACTGTTTTTGTATCTTGGCCAAATAAATGTAGTTTTTATGTGGTTAAAAGAAAAATCACTATTTGATTGCAACTGGTCAACCGTCTTTGTGGCAGCAGAAAACAAAAAGGCTAAAGATGTAAAGCAGAATATAATGCTTTGACTACAATAGGAGTTTAGACTCAGTTTGATATAACTTTTCTATTTTATCCATAAAATTGCTTTGGATGATTCAACAAATCAATGTAAGAAGACAGTCAGTCTTTTGGGATATGTGTCTCCAGCTTTGCACATCTGGAAGCCATTATTTTTGTCTGTTTTTGTTGTGGAAACCAGCTTAATTTCAATCACTCAAGCTATGTTTTCATTGATTTTTATTTTTTTTTTTGCAAACCAACAAAAAAAAGAGAGAAAACGCAAATTAGGTGTGTGCTTAGGAGCGAATGAACCAGGCTACGAAAAGCGTAATTTTGTCAAATGTTGACATTGTGTATGGCTCTAACAAACAAGATATAGATGTTGCTAGAATGAACCACATATCTCAGACAAAATGGAGAGTCCTCCCACCCAACATAGAGGATCGGACTTAAAACGTTTATGCTTCTACTAAGCGACAGAGCCACCAGTGGATCGGAGCGTTCACTTGGTTGGAACTTATTGAAGTAAATGTGTGTCAGTCTCCACTTTTATGCATTACTTCTTTTTCCAAAACCTCAAAACCACCTTAAACATAAAAACCTTTTCACAAAATTGAGGAAGTTATTTTGAATTTTGAAGTCTCCATCAACCTTTTCTAAAGTGATGCTTCAAATTTCCCTTAAAAAAAAAAAAAAAAAAAAAAAAAAAAAAAACGATGGATGGAGATCGTCTCTGCCTCTTCACAACATGAAACTGCCACCACCATGTATCCCCCTGGATATTGTCTGTTTAGGGTTTTATGAACAATGTTTGTCTTCCAAACATTGTACAGACATTTTGGTCTCCTCTTAAAGAAGACGGTGACCAGAGCGCCTTCTTCTATGCATTTTCTGTGTCGCCTATGCCTTGAAACAAAACAAACGGCAGCTTAACATGGAAACATTTCAGATTAACCATAAAAAATAGTAATTAACTATATTCCTCTATTTTATGTCATGAGTTGGATGATTCCAATGCTGCTGACTGAAATTTTAAATCACTAAAAAGACGCAACAGTTCTTCCTCACAGATTGTGGGACATATTTCCCCTTTCAGTTTTCAGGCGCGTCCAAAATAAATCACGATGGCAAGCTGAAATGATGGAAAATTAACACGATTGACGACAAAAATTTTGATCATCTGGTTTCCGCTCTTCTTCCCCTGCAATAGAGAAACAGTTCCAATGAAACACATCTGCCTTGATGAAACAACCTTGGGCATCCCATAATGATGCAACACGATGCAGCTACTCCGCATTGCTGCGGTTCTGGGGGGAGCAAGATTTGTGCTTTATGTTTGTACACAACACTAACAGGCTCCTTCTGCCTGAGGCAACGGGAGATTTGAAGAGGGGGATCAGCGCGCCTTCAAAATTATAAGGGTCATTAAAAATTTACACATTATTGACTGTATTTAAAACATCTTTTCCAGTGACTGTAAAGAGCACTTAAATTTAAGAGCTGCTGCCCTGCTAAGGCCATAAAGTCGCTGAAGAAAGCCTGAAGAAGGCTCGGAGTGGAGACTTTTCCTCCAGTGAGTATGTATAAAGGCACAGCTGAGTTGAGGGAATGGTGAGAGATGAGGAACTGCTTATAAACTGCTGTGTCAAGATATCTAATCTGTGACTTTAAAGAAGGAGCATAACTATTTATGGTTGTGTGTATGGCTGTCGGAAGTGTATGTAACTACACAGAAATAAATAGTCAAAAAGGGTGCCACGGTTCGAGTCGCCCACAGTCCCGTCCTTATGTGTCAGTGTTTTACGGATGGAAAAACTTTCAAAAGAAGACTCCCTGTCTGTGAAATGAATTTTAATGTTAATACAAAAACGGCAGCCTGTGATCTCAGCAGGCATCAGGAGGTGGAGGGAGGGGTGGGAGTGAGTCGCTTCGAGGTGCAATTTATTCCAACCTCTGAGCCTCACCAACTTGAAAGTGGGCTTCAAAAGAGCTTAGGATTACCAGGAAGAAGTCGTGAAGGGGGCGTGTTGGCCTGAGCTTCGACACATCAAAGATTATTGATCATCCGACTCCCAAATTGCGGCGGATTCGCCGAAAAAGCTTCGGTTTCCCGCTTTAAAACGGTCCGTTTATTGTTCTTATCCCACAGCAGAGACCAAACGCGAGCAACAGCTCTGTTTCGAGTTTGCCTCCTGGTCTCTGGCGCGGCGCTGCTTTTTAAGCGGCTTCAGCGCAGGATGGCGGCGCACTTCGCTTCCAGCTTGGCAAACGCCTCAGCCGGCCCGTGCCAAAGCTCCGCTCTCACCAAAACGGCACACCATGGCGTAAAGGAGTCTATAAATTGTTTATTTACAATTTGCTGTGGAAATCCCCTGCTCTTGACTGGGATAAATAATTCAGCTGTTTGATCTGAACACAGTACAAAGGTTCGCTCTGTTCACTCCGAGGCTCGAGGCAGAGGAAGCCACAAGCGCGCACGCTCCACATGGCGGAGATTTTGGGAGCTCTCCTCCCTTTCCTCTGCAGCTGTCACTAACTCCCTGGGCCACGTCTTCCTCCTCTGTGTCTGCACCGTTTCGGAGGAGCGGCCTTTCCTCTGCCTCGTGGGACGACCCCCCCCCCACCCACACAAATAGTAGTAGTTTAGCCCTCATTGAACTCCTGTTGTTGTTTCAGGGGATCCTGTCTAGTTAGAAATGTCTGTCCGGTTCACCCTCGCTTGCTGCCTTGTTGTCCAGACACGACCCTCGGAGGCAGATTGCCCAGTAGTGATCAATTGCTTGTGTCTTCATTGCCGTACACGTGGTAGAGAGAGGTGGAACAAAGGCTCACGAGTACAGAGAGTGTAGAAAAAGAGAAGGATAAGCACAGCAGGAAAGTTGAGCAACAAGTTAGAAAACACGGCATGATGGTACCTTATTGTGCTGTACAGGGCGTCAGTTTTTGGAGCGCTCCTAGTTTGCTGAGATGACCGACTCCGAGGAACGTCTCCCATGCGATACCATATTCCCATGTTGTTTATCTCTCTGTGAAAAACATCAAGATGAGAAGGAGAGAAGCTTGTGTCAAGTTAGTAACCTTAATAATAGAACCCTTAGAATAAAAAAAAAAAAAAAAAAAACTCAGGATATATAAAGCCAAGAAAATTTAGTGACTGATTTCATTCATTTCCAGTGACTATCAGCTCACCCCACACAGGTGTAGTTAACAAGCTGGAACTTGGATTTGGCGGTGATCTGGATGTCACATACAGCTGTCTCGGCAGCCTCACGAGTGCTCATTTTCACACACAGCCTCCTCTTCCTCATGGCAGCTTCCTCTGATGAGTAAAGTCATGTACATGTGAGCGTGTCAGGAAGGAACTAGTGCATATTCACTTCTGTGTCCTCAGAGCTTGGACATATATATATATATATATATATATATATATATATATATATATACAGAGCCTTGCAAAAGTATACAAACCTCTCAACTTTTACACATTTTTTCAGATTCTAACTAACAAACTTTAATGTAATTTATTGGGATTTTATATAACAGGCCAGCACAAAGTGCCTTTGTGTAACTGTGTGCATTTTTGATCTTTAAAGCTTTTAGAAGACGTCTGAAAAGTGAACTGTGCTTTTGTTTCAAACCCCCTCTGAGTCAATACCTCCGAAAATCAACTTTTTCTGCAAAATTTACAGCTGCAAGTCTTTCAGGGTATGTCTCCACCTGCTTTGTTCATCTAGACAATAAAATTATTGCCTATGTTGGGTGTTAAGTGTCTGCGATCGTCAGTTTTAAAGCCACAGATTCTTGATTGTGTTGAAGTCTGGGCTTTGACTGGGCCTTTCTAATACATGAATATGTTTTTGCTCTAAAGCACTCTATTATGCTGTCACATTGTGAGGATGGTGTGTTCGGGATTACATGGTCAAAAAGTTTTATTTTACTCTCTTTTGCTACATGCTATGTTCCCTACAAGGTGTGTCTTTTGGTTTTCTTTTAGCAACATCTTTCCTCCTCCCAGTCTCCCATAAAGGCCAGATTTGTAGAGTGTAGCAACGTTTGTCCCTTCAATAGATGAGCTGTGAGTTACCAAGGGACTGAATGCTTCTTTGGTTAATTCTCTCCTTACCTGGTCTGTCACCAGATAGTCAGCAATGGTTTTGTATATTTAAAGTTGTACCATACTTTATCCAGCTGTTTTGATCCATTCATTGATTAAAATGTGAAGTTCTATATGATGTTCAAAGCTTGGAATATTATTTTATAACATAGAGTGCTGTGAGTCTATTAATGATTTCTAAAAATAAAATAAAAGTATTTATTGCTTAAGGTCTCCATGGGGCAGCTGGATTTTACACACAGCTGAACTCTATTAACTTCTGGTTCTCAGTTATGCACAACTTTGTGTTCATCACATTAAACCCCAACGACACACGTAGAGGTTTGTAGTTTTAACAAGTAAGAAAAAAAAAAATTGAAAATTAATACCTTTGCAAGACTCTGCATATTTATAAAAGTCCTAGTTATGCATAACCCAGGAAAAGTGAATTGTCTTATCTATGTTTCTGGCTGACTTACTATGCTCTGAGGGAATTGACTGGACACTGGAAAGGCACAAAATATGCGTGCATTATTATCATTTTTATCATTTCTCCAGGTAAAATGACGGACGCAAGTGAATTCTCCATCAAGTTTAATGCACGACAGGGATTTAAACTCGATATTCTGGATAGGGATTCATACATAATGCCACATGTATACATTAAACATGGATTCACGCAAAGTAATAAAACATTAAATTACAACACAGCCAAAGAAAACATAATCTCTTTTCCTCATTCTGGCAAAAAAAGGGAAAAAAAAGAGGCATTGCCATGCTTTTCTATATTGCATTTGTGCCTTGCTCATTTATTTCCTCAGCAACACAAGGAAGTGCTGTGTAAATGCAATGATAATAAAAATAATAAACAAGCTGTCCTCACTCCACACACCAAAATATTATTACATTTTCAAGGCATGGATAAGGTGGGAGAGGGTAGAGGGGCGGAAATACGTAGCACTCAAAACCCACTAAAGCATTGGGGAATGCATTTCATTAATATTAGATAACCCCCCATCTACTGGTCCTCTCCCCAAATAAATACATAAATAAATAAGCCCCTCATAAAGAAAAACCCAGCTCCAGCTGAGATAAACAATGACTCATGATTCTCCTCTCTTGTACCTCCGGGGCAAAATGTTTATTTTATTCCCACAGTCTGCCATAAATTAAGCTAACCTGCACCCATAAAACATTTACTATCTCAAGCAAAGTTGCCCCTGAGGACCCCCTGCAAAAGCTGGTCGGAGAGAGTGGAAGAAAAAAAAAAAATCAGGAGAAGGAAGATGCCTGTGGTTAGTATTGACTGCTTACTGTTTATTTACTTTTGTCTAATGTTTCTTGCACAAGTGTGAAGGACTCTGGCAGCGGGTCCTTGATGTCAATCAGCTTCATATCCACAACAACTTCAGGCTCCTAAAACCGAAGAGAGGGCAATAAAAAAAGAAGAAGAAAAAAAAGTGCAGTTATCCAAATTCATTTTTCAAAGTAAGACATGGATTAAGCATTGAGAAGAAAGGTAAATAAGATTACTAATATACTAAAAGCTCCTAGAATCCCTAAAGAGAACGGTTTGCAACATGCCTAATAATTGCGCCGTAGAAACTTATTCTTGGTCTGAGAGGAGCATCTGTGAACTTCCAATCATTTTCAACCTTTCAGGGATAGAAGTTGTGCAATGATGGGAGACAGAGCGGGCTCTCTGATCAACAGAATTGAACTAGTTAAAAATAATCAGGGGGGCTGCGTAGTTGACATTTTCAAGCATGACTCTTCCCTGCCTCCCATTACATTTTCATTTTTTGCCATAATAAATTGCAATAATACACAGCGGCGGCAAGGAGTGGGGCGAGCCAGGCGTGACTTGATGCGTCCAAAATGCCTGGATTACCCTCTCGCAGCTCCTCGACTGTCATTACCATTAGAGGCATTTTTTATTCATAGTTTTTACACTGATGTAAGGAGGAATATGGATGAATGTTATTATAATGCATGAAGCTTCTTTTTTTTTTATTGTTTTCTCCCCTTTTTTTCCAGGAGATTTTTTCCCCCCCATCACAACCTGACAAAAGAAGGCTATCTACCTTCAACCTAGAGTATGATAAATCACAAACTATTTACCTCCCCCTCCAAATAATTCAGGGGCTAATTTTACAGAATCTGTTTTTGTCATAGACAATTACAGTGGGAGTTCCAATGACTGGCAGACAAAATAGCCTTTGTTGATGGTTCTGTCATGTTTTATTTGCGTCAAAGCCTTTAAAACAATGTGGACGGACATTTTAAGATAATACGCAGGAACTAGGGAAAGGCCATTTGCATGCTATATACTAAACTGGGGGCCAAATTGAGCTCAGCCTGCCAAGTTGCCTGGCTTTTTAGAGGACATACAGAAAAAAATATGACTTGATTAAGTCCTAAAATTGAGCTGATGCAAAGTAATAACAAAAAAAAAATTCAGGTTTTGTTTACAATGCTGTCTGCATTATCCACCTGCAAGCCAGGGAAACTTAATTAATAGACAGCCAATAGCATGAGCTGGGGTTGGACAGGCTGGTGGCTCTGGCGCTGTAAGCAGGTGTATTTATGGCCACAGAGCAGCTGACAGCCAAGCAGAAACACATCAACTCTTGACTGCAGGCAAGCGAAGGGTCCAAAAATGACCCGACCGCATTATGTGGAAATGTAATGTAAAGATCATTTTAGACACAGAGGAGTCATGGCTGCTCAAATTGGGAATTCTATATATGGCCTTAACTACACTGAAATTGCTTTTTGCAGTACAGTCCTGCCCCTTTACCCCTCTCCAAAAGAAAGAATATTCACATTTATAAGTTATAGAGTTGTGTTCAAAACAATAGCAGTCCAACTTGATTGAAGTTATATGTCTATATGGCCGCCAACTTGTTGGTGTAGTGGAATAACAGAAAACCAACAGACCAAACAGGCCATGACATGCGTCCTGCTGATTCAGTGTTGCAGAATTGTTAATTGAAAGCAACATGTTGTGGAGCTCGACCAGTGATGTCATCAGGATGAGAGTAGTGTTTGAATATATTGGTTAAAATGCATTCCTGTAAGTGAAATGATGGGTGGTCCCAGATTTGTTTTCAAAAGAAAAGAAAACTTTAGACTGCTCAACTAAAAGAATGTATTTTTTAAAAAAAAGTCAAATGGTTTAAAATGGAAGCCTCTATTTCAAAATACAGAAAAACAGCAAAAATGGCAATAACTCAAGTGATTGTTTAAGATAAGGGCCTGCAACCTGTGGCTTAGGAGATTTTACACTGGCTTTAAATAACTAAGCATTATTAAGAACCTACTAATGTGTTTAAAAGTAGCTTTCCAGCTTTTCAATGGAATTATTGTTTCCAAAACAGAGACATCTAAAGTTACCAGTAATATTTCCATTTCTAATTTTGTTGTTGTGTTTAAAACTATTCCCTTTTTTTTTTTTTTTTTTTTTTTTAAATTTTTTTCCAAAAAAAAAATTTCCAAAAAAAAAAATTTTTTTTTTTTTTTTTTTT